AATCACATAAATCCGATTATTCGAAAAAGAAAAACATAGAACAAGATCCGGTGATGCATAACTGATGACTTTGTTTTGAATCTTTCTCTCCTGACAAGAAAAAACAATCAAATGTTACTTACCTTAATCACTCAAAAGTCAAAACCGTGAACTAAGCTCAAATCCAAACATGAATATCAAACTTAAAATAAAATCTGCAACTCAATATCCCATCCATAAGCGATTGAAATCTGAAACTTTGAAGATCCAAGTTTTGAGCGCTCGTGAAAAAAACAGAGAGAATGACTTTGTAATCGTTTCAGAGACTCGATTAAAGCCAATATGTAAAGACAAAAACTTTGAATTTCAAATCTTTATCTTTGTTTCGACATCTAGGAAGCAATAAAAATCATAACTTTCACCTAATTGTGTTAGCAAAAAGACAAATCAAATAGGGTAAAAAAATGAATGATTCAAACGGAAAAGAGAAGAACTAACCTCCGATTGATTTCGCGATAGAGCTGTTGGTGACGGTAAAGTCGCCGAGTACACAACGAGGGTTTCCAATTTTAATATTGTGATTCGATCGAGAAGCCGATTGCCGATATATGAAGGTACGCATGAAGGAAACTCAAACGACAAAAATCACAAAACCTAAAACCTAGGACATACATATAAGTGTATAACTATATAAGACTATATATCTAATTATCTATATATATATATATATATATATATATATATATATATAAACATATGTGTATTGCTTCGGGTTTGTGGGTATCCTAAATGGGTAACGGGTAATCCCCGACCCGACCCGATACCCACGGGTAAACCAATACTCTACCCAATGAGGTAATTTTCTAATACCCTAACCCGCCTCAACCCGATTTTTTCGGTCCGGGTATCGGTTCGGATATCGGGTCTGTGTTTTTTGCCCAGGCCTAGGTGAACCTAAGTATTTTTTCTTTCTAAAACCCAAACTGACATTTAACCTCGTTTAATTGTAAAATCTAAATCCGTTTATAAATCTAAACCGATATTTAATATCGTTTAATTATAAAATCAAAACCTGATCATTTCTAATAAACCTAAACTGATACGTATTTTATTTTAGTGGCAAATTAAATTTTATAATTAAATAAAAAAAATTATTATTATTTGGTGATAAATTTTGATTGGCTGAAATAAACGGGTGAATATAAGGGTTGACCCCTAAGAGATAACTTAAGTATTTTTCTTAAAGGAATATATATATATATATATTTTTTTGTGACTTGTGAGAGACAAATCAAATTGTTTTCTCGAGAAAAAAAAAAGAACAAATCAAATTGTATTTGTTAATTCTTGTTTGAAGGGAAAAAAAAAAACAAGATCGGTAAGAAAAAGAAAGGAAAGTTACTCAAATGTCATACAAATTAGGTGAAATGATTAGAAACATACATATTTTTTTTTATTACTGTCATATTTCAAGTATATTTTGTATACTCAGCGTGCCCCTATTAAACGTTATAGGAAAAACGTAATTACAAAGAATGTCGTTGCCACGTCAGACAAACCGCGTCGCCACGTCAGAAATCGCTGACGTGTATTAATGAACTCAGCCGTAAAGCGATACAGCGGCAGTGACAGCTGAGTTACGGTATGTTGTGGCTGATTTAAGAAAAATGACTGAGTTATGAGCAAACGGCTGACTTACGAGTATAACCCAGCTAGGAGTTATGACTGACTTAATGAAATCTGTCTGAGTTATGAGAAAATGTCTGACTTAGAGCATAACCCAGCCTAAGTTCCTGCTGAGTTTTTACCCGATGGTTGATTTGTCAAAATTTGGCTGAGTTATTACTTCGACACGGCTGAATTAACTTTCTCCAGCTGGCTAAGTTATCAAAGAGGGCTTAGTTATGGGATGTCGTTATGGCTGATTTATGTTGGAGTATCATAAATCAGCCGTAATGAGCTGGATTAACGGAAAACTTGGCCTAATTACGGCTGACTTAGTAGCGAAAGATTAATTACTAGAATAACATGCTTTTACGGCCGACTTATTAAACGATACGGTTAAGTTAAAGATTTTCGGTTGTGTTACGACATTAAACGGCTGAATTTGGCAGCTGTTTTTTCGTTTTTTAACTACTGTAATAGTATTCATGTTGCGACTGACTTAATGTTTTGTTTGATGACTGGTTTAATTAGGCTGATTTAAGTACATGTTCGTTTGGTGGCTTACTTGCCACTTCATCAATTAAAAAATGACGTAGGATGCAACATCCCATGTCATCATTCCATGTCATCATCATCAAAGGAAATATGAAACGTCTTTTTTCTACTCGTCTTGTTCTTCACTTTGTTGTTCTTCACATGTGTTTTTCACATCAACACAGATATCCAGAACTTAAATTTTGAACATCTAATTCGTCATCGTCTTCCTCATTCTTCTTCATTTTCGTTCATCCTTGTTCCGATATATGATTGATCCGGTTCCGGTAATTGTTGTTTTCGCTAATTGGGTAAAGAAACAAAAATATGTATTTAACACCGATGATAGAGGGTGTAGAGTTGTGCAGATAGATTCGGAAACAACGCACAACAAGCTTGTGAAGTTGGTTCTTGTGATAAGTCAGCCGTGAAGCATTATAACTCAGCCGTAATATGTAAATTTACGCAACCTTTCGTCTTCTGTGAAGCATTATAACTCAGCCGTGACATGTAAATTGCCGCGAAACAATAAGTTACGTAATCTTTCGTCTTCCTTTTCCTTTTTTCTCTTATGACGTGGTTTTATTTTTTTTTCGTAATGACGTGAATTAAACTAATTTTTCGTTAATTATTTTTTAACTAAAAAAGAATAAAAAAATCTCAATTAAAAAAAAACTAATCAAAGATGTTAATTGTAATAATACAAAAACACTAAACATATGAGTAATTTTTTAAAAAATGTATGATATGTTAGTAATATTCTAACCTTTCTATATAACTTCTGAGTAAATATTTCGAAAAAGAATTGTGACCTCCAAAATTCTAAAAGCAACAATAGCGTGACACAAGATTGAAGAGACACCGTTTTCATAAACTGACAAATCCTATTACCTTAAGTAAAGGTCCAGATTCTTCCTTGTTCCTCTTCTCTCTACTTCTCTCATTACCCATTAAAAGGGCCCTACGATTATTTCGATTTTGAATCTCCAAATCCAGAATTCGAGTGTTGAATCTTCGAAAAGATCAAATCTTTGGAGATGGGTCTCTGGGATTCACTTCTTAATTGGCTCAGGAGGTAAAAATTTCTTCTTTTATCAATTGTATCAAAAACCAGTCTTTTTTGTTATACCATTGAACTAGTTTATAGTTATGGTTCTGGGTTTAGTTAAAACGTTGCCAAAAACCAATTTTGCTCACAAAGAGTCAACAAAATGGTGTCACTTGTTGTGTTTCAAAATCTCAAACTTGTCTTGAGTTTCTTAGGCTGTATCTTTTATTGTTACCTTATATGAATTGGTTCATTGAGAAATCTACCCTTATTTATATGTTCTTGTGTATTAATTCTCTTTAGTTGATTGAGATTTTAATCCATTTGTGGTAGTGATGCTTTGTGTGATGTTGTTATGCATTACCAAAACTTGTAAAACAGAAAATTGTCTAATGATTGAATTGTGGAAACGGAGGATAATTATAGAATGGTTAAAAGAAGTTGGTTTTAGTTGATTATTAATGTTTGTTTTGTTGTTTCTAGTTATGGTTTTTAGTTGGTTATTAATGTTTTGTTGTTTTTGGTTATACTTATGTTTTTAGTGTATAGCAGAATCACGTTTTGGAAACATTAGATTTTGATTCTGTGTTTGCTTATATTTGTTGTGTCAGCTTGTTCTTCAAACAAGAGATGGAGCTGTCACTCGTTGGACTTCAAAATGCTGGGAAGACTTCTCTTGTCAATGCCATTGCTGTGAGTAGAATCTTCAGAGGTTTTAGTCGATAAATAGTATTATCGGACAAATCTAATCTTACGCGTTTCACTTCTTGCTTGCTGTGGATTTTTCAAGACTGGAGGTTACAGTGAAGATATGATACCAACTGTAGGATTTAACATGAGGAAAGTTACAAAAGGAAATGTTACAATAAAGATTTGGGATCTTGGAGGGCAACGAAGGTTTCGTACTATGTGGGAACGTTATTGTCGCGGAGTTTCTGCTATTGTGTATATATTTTAAAACTTTTTTGATATCTTTGAAGATCCCATGTTATTTATTATGTAAAAATCTTGATGGTATATGTTTGTATGGTGATATTGCAGATATGTGATTGATGCTGCAGATCGAGATAGTGTACCGATATCAAGAAGCGAACTGAATGATCTGTTAACAAAACCGTCTTTAAATGGAATTCCTCTTCTGATTCTCGGCAACAAAATAGATAAGTCTGAAGCTCTCTCCAAGCAGGCTTTGGTTGATCAATTGTAAGTTTCTTGTTCAAAGTCCATTCTTACCAATCTGAATTCAAGTATATGACTTGAATTGTTTTTATGCAGAGGGCTTGATTCTGTAGCAGACAGAGAGGTTTGCTGTTACATGATCTCGTGTAAGGACTCGATAAACATCGATGCGGTCATCGATTGGCTCATTAAGCACTCGAGAACCGCTACATAAACAGACACAGCAAGCTCATCGGTCCAGAGGAAAACAAAGCTTGTTTTGGTTTCTTGATGTTGTTTTATTTGTTGAGAATCAATCATCGGCTTCTGGTTTCTTCTTGGTTTTAAATCTTGTTTTAAAATTCTTCAATGTTCAAATACTTTTGGTTCATGGTACACAGTCCAATTTTATTCGGTTCATAAAACTCAGAACCCGGTTTAATCCGGTTTAAATTTCAAAGATTACTAGTAATATTAACATTCAAATTTTATTTATCTTATTGGATTCCTAAATATTACATGCTTTATTAGATTCATGAAGTTTACACTCCAATTTTATTCTGCTCATGGAAATCAGAACCCGGTTTACTCCGGTTTAGACTTCAAAGCTTGCTAGTAATATTAACATTCAAATTTTATTCATCTTAAAACATTCCTAAATATTACATACTTTATTCGATTTATGAAGTAAGTCCAATTTTATTCATCTTAAGAAAACCAAAACCCGGTTTAAACCGGTTAAGACATCAAAGCTTACTAGTAATATTAACATTCCTAACTTTAGACGATTTCGATGACGTGTCCTTAGGAACAACAACAGTAAGAACACCATTCTCCACGTAAGCTTTAACTTGGTCGACTTTCACATTCTCCGGCAACTCAATCCGCCGCAAAAACTCACCTCCACCGGAAAAAGCTTCTCTCTCCGCCACATGCCACACCAAATTCTCTTTCTTCTCTTCCTTTATTCCTTCTCCTCTTATACTCAAAACATTTCCTTCTTCAATCAGCACTTTTATGTCTTCCTTGTTGTAACCAGGAACGTTGATCTTGAAGATATGAGAGTTGGAAGATTCCATCCAATCAATCAGAGCCGTTGATCTTGACCATTCTTGGAATCTTCTAAATGGATACACGAATATTCCTCTGTCTGCCATATTCTTCAATCTTTTCTCCTTTAGGTAAACTTGTTTACTAGAGATGTGTATATATTTTTGAGTGGAAAGTATTTTATAGAGAAGTCGAGACTGTTCTTCGTTATCTTGTTTCGTCATTTTTCTGACTCCAGAACATTGGAGAAGACGAAAGGGGTAGTTATAAACTACGGTGTGGTGTATATTGTTATGGTGGACCGTGGATGTCAGTGTATTATTACCGTTGGATGAGATTCTAGGATTTACGAGTGTTATTTAGGTCTTTTTAAAAACACCAGTTAATAGGCCTTTATCTTGGTATCCATTTTTGTATTTTTCCGCCTTGTTTTCAATTAGGCCTGGGCATATGGGTAATTCGTTCGGGTTCGGGTAAAATCCGTTCGGCTTCGGGTTGAATGGGTAATGAATTTATGGTCCATTCGGGTATTCTTATGGTTTTGGTTCTGGTCCGGTTCGGGTATTATCGGGTTCGGATCGGTTTGGGTAATACCCGAAGTTTAAAGTCACTTTACATACTCAAATGATCAAATAAAGAGAATAGAACATCAAACATGACATTTAAATACTAAATCCAATCCAAAATAACAAAGATGACTACTTAACTCTTAAGTGTTAAGAGTAAATTCCAATCCAAAATCACATAAATCCGATTATTCGAAAAAGAAAACCATAGAACAAGATCCGGTGATGCATAACTGATGACTTTGTTTTGAATCTTTCTCTCCTGACAAGAAAAAACAATCAAATGTTACTTACCTTAATCACTAAAAAGTCAAAACCGTGAACTTAAGCTCAAATCCAAACATGAATATCAAACTTAAAATAAAATCTGCAACTCAATATCCCATCCATAAGCGATTGAAATCTGAAACTTTGAAGATCCAAGTTTTGAGCGCTCGTGAAAAAAAACAGAGAGAATGACTTTGTAATCGTTTCAGAGACTCGATTAAAGCCAATATGTAAAGACAAAAACTTTGAATTTCAAATCTTTATCTTTGTTTCGACATCTAGGAGGCAATAAAAATCATAACTTTCACCTAATTGTGTTAGCAAAAAGACAAATCAAATAGAGTAAAAAAATTTTGTGCAAAAAAACCCTCGAAGTAGCCAATTTTTGCAAGAAAACCCTCTATCTCAAATAAATGCAAGTCAATACCACCATCTCAAAAGTCACCCGCAATATAGCCCTCGCGTGTATCGATGACGTGGCAGCCGTTAACTCCGTTCCAAAACGTCACGACAAGTGAACTTTTGTGCAAAAAAACCCTCAAAGTAGTCAAGTTTTGCAAGAAAACCCTCAAAGTAGCCAAATTTTGTGCAAAAAAACCCTCAAAGTAGCCAAGGTTTGTTTTGAAAAAGCGACTGTTGGAGAATTCGATTGTACATGGAAGCAAAGGAAACAATATGGTAATAATCGATTTTGATATCTTCTTAAATTTATGATCATTGGCATGATCAAAGTAAGACATGGTGGAGCCATTTATACGAGAAGGAAAAATCTAGGGTTTAACAGAAGAATTCTGTAAAATTTACATAATTTTTCTGTAAAACCAGAAAATCTTCTGTAAAAGCCCAAATTCGTCGCAAAAGAGACAAAATATTTTGTAAGGCTCAGAGCCTCGAAAAACGTGCAAGCCACGAAATCAACTTCTGTAAGACTCAGAGCTTCGAAAAACGTGCAAGCCACGAAATCAACTTCTATAAGACTCAGAGCCTCGAAAAATGTGCCCGGCACGGAATCACCTTCTGTAAGGCTCAGAGCCTCGACAAAACATATATTACTTCTCTAAAAATCATAGCTAACTCTTGCGTATATTTCGTATTCTCGTTCACTCGAATTCCATCTCTGTAATCACAGAAGCACGATTATCGTTAATAAGAGAAATATCTCCGTTCGCTCCCAAAAACTCGTACTTATTTATCATTGCAACTTCGGTACGAACAATAGGGTGGATAGATTTACATACAACAATTTTTATTTTTGGGTATTATAGGTAAACCCGAACCCGTACCCGAATTTTAAAATACCCGAAAGGTTTTTTTTGCAAAAATTGGTTTAATGAAGGGTTTTTTTGCAATTTGGCTACTTCGAGGGTTTTTTTGCACAAAACCCACTGACGGAGTTAACGGCTGCCACGTCATCGATACACGCGAGGGCTATATTGCGGGTGATTTTTGAGATGGCGGTATTGACTTGAATTTATTTGAGATGGAGGGTTTTCTTGCAAAAATTGGCTACTTCGAAGGTTTTTTTGCACAAAACCCTTAAAAAATGAATGATTCAAACGGAAAATAGAATAATTAACCTCCAATTGATTTCGCGATAGAGCTGTCGGTGACGGTAAAGTCGCCGAGTACACAATGAGGGTTTCCAATTTTAATATTGTGATTCGATCGAGAAGCCGATTGCCGATATATGAAGGTAGGCATGAAGGAAACTCAAACGACAAAAGTCACAAAACCTAAAACCTAGGACATACATATAAGTGTATAACTATATAAGACTATATATCTAATTATCTATATATATATATATATATATATAAACATATGTGTATTGCTTCGGGTTTGTGGGTACCCTAAATGGGTAACGGGTAATCCCCGACCCGACCCGATACCCACGGGTAATCCAATACTCTACCCAATGAGGTAATTTTCTAATACCCTAACCCGCCCCAACCCGATTTTTTCGGTCCGGGTATCGGTTCGGATATCGGGTCCGGGTTTTTTGCCCAGGCCTATTTCCAATGTTAATACATACTCTTTTAATTTTTCATATTGAATTTCGATGTTCTCGGAAAAATGCGTAGAAAATCATCATCTTTTTCTAAAGTCTCTTATATTTTTGTGGGCTTTTAAACCCCAACTTTCTAATAAATGGTATTTTTTTTTTCAAATTTGAGTTATGCGATTTTTTTTTCTTTTTAAAATAAGGTTTTTTATATTATATAAAAATTTATTCAATATTTAGTTGACACTAGACAAATCAGTTTTGTTACCATTAAAAGTTATGTGATATAAACTATTTATAGGATAGTACATTCGGTTTTTTTTTGTTCGAGTTTTTCAGGTTTTGATTTAAGAAATGGTCAAAATTATAAAGAAAAAAATAAGATTCAGTTGGATTCAATTTAGTTTTGGATTGAAATATAATTAAATGTAATTTATACTATATCTTTTAATATATCTTAATTTATACATATATATATATATATATTTATTTATTGAAATATTAACTGCTAATAAATGCTTATTTAGATTATTAATTCCGATAAAAATATTTAGATGTAAAAATTTATGTACTTTTTGTAGTATTACAAAATTTGGTTTTCTTTCATGTTAGTAAATTTGTGTGATCAAACCAGATAAACCTTTATTAACATCAATTCATATTTGGTTTGGGATAAAAATTTATATATCACTCGTAAGTTCGTAACAAAATTGGTTTGGTCTTGTCTTATACAAATTTGTTTTAGACAATTAACTTAGAGCATCTCATGAGTATCTTAAATTTCTTAACCACGACAATATTTTAAATATATTTTAGTTAATTAATTAAATTTAAATTTATTTTCAAAACTAAACAAATAATAACTAAATGATATGTGTATATGGAAATTTGGTTCTTGTTTAAAAACCCATTGTCACTTTCTTTTCTTACATTTTTTATTATGATTTTAATGGAAATATCTAGTTATGTGGAGATGCTCTTCAGAAATCTTACTCAACCATTCATGGCATTCAAACTGGACATTAGCAAAGCATTTGATAAAGTTGAATGGTCTTTTGTTGAAGCAGTTATGAAGAAGCTTGGGTTTTCTGATACATGGTGTGCTTGGATTATGAAGTGTATCACTACTGTTTCTTATTCAGTCCTTGTTAACGGCTCACCAATTGGCAAAATTCATCCCCAACGAGGTATTAGACAAGACGATCCCATTTCTCCTTACTTATATTTATTATGCTCGGAAGGACTATCAGCCTTAATCCGGAATAGTATTCAGCAAGGTCATTTACATGGCTTTAAGGCAAGCAGAAACGGCCCTCCCATATCTCATTTATTTTTTGCAGACGATTCTCTCCTCTTCTGTAAAGCTACTGCAGCTGCTCCTCAATATCCTACATAAATATGCAGCAGTTTCAGGTCAGCATGTTAATTTTCAGAAATCTGCTGTCACTTTTGGTAAAGGGTTAACTCCACATCAGAAGCTTAAGTCATGGGAGTTAATAGCTTAAGTGGCTTTGGAAAATATCTTGGACTGCCTGAATTTGTTGGGAGAAATAAATATAATGCTTTTTCATACCTCTATCAAAGATTATCACAAAAGGTAGAAAGTTGGTATTCTCAACTTCTTTCTCCTGCAGGCAAAGAAGTCCTTATCAAAGCGGTGGCCACGGCTCTTCCTTCCTACTGTATGTCATGCTTTATCTTACCAATGAAGCTTATCAAACAGATGACCTCTGCAATCCGCAAATTCTGGTGGGCAAATTTTCAGAATCATTCTAAGATCTCATGGATTGCTTGGAGAAAAATCAATGACACAAAGCAGATGGGGGGTTTGAGGATCAGAGATCTCAGAGACTTCAACGTTGCAATGATTGCTAAACAGAGCTGGAGACTGCTACAACAGCCGCATACTCTAATGGCGCGACTCTTCAAAGCTAAATACTATCCCAAAACGAATTTACTGGAGGCTGGTCTTAAGTGGCAATCAAGTCATGCTTGGCGGAGCATTTTACAAGGTAACCAACTCCTAGCTAAGGGCATTAAATGGATTATTGGTAATGGGAAAACTGTTAATATTTGGAAGGATAATTGGCTTCCCTCTAGTCCTCCTCGGGCCCCTCAACCATATGGTAATCCTGATGTCTTTACAGCTAGTCAAGGATCTTCTCATTCCTGGAACCAATACTTGGAACGAGCCTTTGATAAATCGAGTCATTGCTCCTGAGGATAGATCTCTGGTCAAGCTTGTTAGGCCCTCGATTATAGGTCTCTCTGATAGTGTCTCTTGGATTTACTCTAATGAGGGTCATTACTCTGTAAAGTCGGGCTACTGTTTACTCCGCAAGCAAGCTAACAATCATATTTCATCTGCAAATAATAACGCCTCTCATCTTCTATTTCTATTCAAGATTGTCTGGAATGTGAATTTTCCTCCAAAAGTAAACCATTTTTGGTGGCGTGCTTTACATGATGCTTTGCCTGTTACAGATAATTTGATGAAGAGGAGAATGAGAGTGGACAACAATTGTCAGCTGTGTGGAGAAGCTGCTGAAACAGTGAACCATGCACCTATTATTTAGCTGCAGAATCTCCAAGGAAATATGGGATCTAGCACCCTTAGCAAGTCCCTCAGATAATTTCTTCCACACTCATTCCTTTTCGAATAACCTGCAGATGATGCTGCATCTTAATGGTAATCGCCAAAAAGAGCTGCAACTTCTTTTTCTCATTGGCAGGAGGATTTGGAAAATGCGAAATGCCCTCATCTTTAATAACAGACGCCACTCTATTCCAGACATCATTAGTAAGGCTTTGATAGATATATCTCTTTGGACCAATGCATGTGCTTTAGAGCAGGATGTACCGTCAAGATCAATCAACGTAGCTCCCTCAACGTTCGCTGATGTCATAGGCAAATCTAATAATTATTGCTGCTTTGTAGATAGCTCCTGGATCTCTCCATCTCATCAAGCTGGCATCGGATGGGCCCTTTATAACAAGCATTCTGATCTCGTTGTTAAAGGTTCTTCAGCCATTCATCCAACTACTTCGCCCCTTGAAGCAGAAGCTGAAGCACTAAGGATGGCAGTTCTTCAAATCAAACAGTTGGGCTACTCTGAAGTCACTTTTGTGTGAGATAATGCTGATCTCTATAAACCTTTGGAGAACAAGAACGCTGCAACCCCATCAGAAAGATGGAACAATACTGTCTCTACGTACATCAGAGACATTTTGCAGCTGATCAAAGGAAATTTTGCATTCAGCTTTATGAAGATATCCAGAGATGTAAACTCAGTAGCTGATGCTTTAGCTAAGAATGCAAGAACATATCAATCAAATTATGTAATCTCCTGGAACAATGTATTAGGATATTGATGTTTATGAATGAAAAGATAAGTTGACGACAAAAAAAAAAATGTGGAGATGCTCTTAGTACAGAACAAAATGAAGATTAACAATTTAACAAAGAACGGTCCACTCCTAGTCATGGTTAGTCATGGGCTCATGGCCGGTCTAATACCTGATAATAAATAAAATGAAATGTTATAAAATTTTGAAATGTAACATTTGAGAAGAATATTATAAAATTTTGTATCTTTTGACGACAATATATGCCATTTGACAAATAAAGATCGACATAAATTTGCTTTTAGACCTCTCTCTTTTGGTATGCCCTTTTACTTTGTTGCTTTAGTAATCTTGTTTCGAATATGCATAAAGCCTTTATAATTCATCTCTTAAGACTTCCTTTCCATATCTCTTTTTCATTTAAAATAATTATTATCACAAGTATTATGTAACAACAATCGAAACAAATAATTAAAAATAATCTGAAAAAGTAGAAAAGAAAAAAATTAAAGTTTTGACAGAATCCAAAGCGATATACATCTCATCTGGAATTTTTGCTTCTTTGAGATCCACGCTCTTGCGAATCCTCAGAACTTTGACATTTATTTACCTGAAAATTTTATATTTATATACATATTAATTGCTAAAAAACTTTGAATATCCTAACAATCACCTAATTGTAAAATACACGTGCAAGCATATTACATATAACAATTCATTATTATCAGATTGACTGCTACGTACCTTTATCATAAGGCATATGCATGTAACAAATATTTTTTTTGTGTGTTTTCCATATATTATGAAAGAAATTAAATAAAATTAAAAATTAAAAATATGTAAGAAATAGAAATCACCTCCGCGACTGCAAACGCCTCTGAGGAAAAGAAGGAAGATGATTAGAAGAACAACCCCAGCTAGTAGTCCTATGATGATCGCGAATGTCCTTTCTCCACCGTAGTTTGTTTTATCTATTTATTCAATGATATTTAATCAAACATATATTATAATTACTTAATTAGTTTCCATTTCGTTTTAGATAGAAAAAAAAACAAACTCCAAACATATAATTTTGGGTTTCTGTTGTCACTTTCTTGCAAAGATATATAGTTTTGTAACAGAATTTTCGTTAATTTGAAAAATATCACAATTTGAGCTTTTAAATAAAAAAATACAAACTTTTGGTTTAGGAAGGATTCATAAAAAAAAAAAAAAAAAATCTACTAAAGTTTCTATTAATAGATTTACTATACTATTCCTAACTAAGTTTTTAGGAAACTTTTCTAGGTATAACTTTGAGGGTTTTTGTTATAATGATTTTTGGTTTTTGAATTATGAAAAACAATACATAATTTTTTTTACTTTTGAGAGTTGTCCTACTAATAATAGTAAGTAGATAAAACTTACAACTATGAGACTTGGCATAGTGTTGTGCACCATCAGTGGAATATCTTGCGTAACACTTAGCCAAGAACATGTCTCCGAATACGGCCGTGCCACAATCATTCTTAAGCCGTCCGATTGCCGTTCCTAAACAATCTTGGCACTCTGACACCGTTAGATCTCCAACACACTGTCCCATACCTTGAACATCACCGGACCCTCCCGCTCGAAAATACCCTCCACCGTTGACTAGCTCCGTGAGAACCGCGTCTCTCCGGCTGATACCGTCGGTGTTATAACCCTCAGAGGGTCCACACTTCTTTAGGACAACGGTCTTGTCTTCTTGGCCAAGGAAGCTGATGTTATCGTACTTGATGTAGCAGCCAGCTAGTTGGAGGGCTCCACCACAAGTGAAAGGGCAAAGAGGACCTACTTGAGAGACGGCACGTACCACACACGTGGCACAGTCCGGCATGGAGAGGTCGCCGCGGCATTGGAAGAGGCCATGGGCTGTGTCCGAGGAAGAAGAGCCCATGATGGTGAAGTTGTTGTAGGAAGAGTATGTGGCTGAGTTAACTAGAGAAGTGAGAAGAGAGTTGAGGTTTGACTCATAAGCAGACGCCGGAGAGAATTTTTGCTGGGAGCAGCCGCCGAAGACGAAGGTGTCTGTGGCGGAGGTGGCGGAGGAGAGTGAAGGAGCGGTTGCGGCGAGGAGAAAGAAGAAGAAGGAGAGAGTTTTGATGATGTTCCTTAGTTTTGCCATTGGTATTAATGGAAAAGGAGAGAAAGACATTAGCAATTATAAAAATGGATACCTATTTATACATGTTAATTTATTAACGTTTACTTATAAAGGTAACGATAAATGATGGAATGATAGCGCGATTTCGTAGGTTTTCACTTTTAACTAATCACATGATTATGCTAAATCAAGTTTAATGGTAATTCTAATCATTTAATTATGCGAAATGAAGTTATTTTAAGAGTTTGTATTTCAATAAAGTGTATTTCTTTGCCATTATATTCTGAAAATTATGATTATGCGATTATGGGGCGTTTTCAATCATCATGGATTTTTTATTATTATTATATATACTGAAAAATAAATTATCAATCAATATTAGCAATCTGAAATAATTAAACTTATCAAAGTATTGATCCAAAAATAAGGTAATTAGTGATGTGTAATAAAAGTATAGATTAATAGTAAAATTTTAAAAATATATTTTCAGTATCATGTGGATGGCTCAGCTTTCTTTTGTTGTGGCTTGACTAAGTAAAGAAGTTCTAAGCTTTTAATAAAGTAGACAGTCATGACTCATGAGTCATGCAAATATGCAGCACAAGTTTTCCATTTCTTAAAATTAATATTAGGGGGGAGAATGAAATATTTTATTACTTAATTTGCAGTAGTTATCATGATTTTGTGCTTGCTGTTTATTTTTTTTACTTACATTATACAACTACATATTACGTATAAGCCGTCAAAAAAAAAACATATTACGTTTAATTAATCTTATATTACTCTAAATTCTGACTCCAAATTCTTGATTATGAATGTTTCCAAATATATCTGCAATTGGAGATCTAGTTAAGGATCAACTAAAGTTTTGGACTGTTTATGAATAAATATGGGTGTTTACTTTATTTTCTTGTGATTATTTGTGTATTCATATGTATGTTTTAAGTTTTTTTTTTTTTTTTTTTGTCATTATGTAAGTTTTAAGTTGTGATTGAACTTTTAGTTGAACTGCTTATTTTTCATTTATGTTTTAGTATTCTAATTTTTGTTGTTGTAATTAACTGACATTTTTTGCCGGCAGAAAAGTTAACTTTTATTTTTAGCATGTTATTAGTGAAGTTGTAACTTAACCTAAGATAACAGAAAATTCACAACTTCAAAAAGTGCTACACTCTAAAAACAATCTTCACTTTTAATAAATTTATATAATTGGTTTTTCTTCCAAAACAAAATAATTTTAAATTGAAGAAGAAATGTTTTTTTTTTCTTTTATAACATAAAGAATGTCAAATTGGAAAGCTGAATATTCATTTCCTTTTTTCACAAATAATTCTCAAAGGGAGGGTGGTAGGTGGGTGATCCCGTGAGAGCTTTACTTTAGGGTTCATATTTATTTTATATATTCTTAAAGAAGAAAACTTTTTCGAACGAAGACATATCTCTCCATCTGTACCATCGCACTCATCGAGTTTTCCATTTCTTCTTTTTAGGATATTCATTGCTTGCTCTCGAAGGAATTCTCGTACCATGATCCATGAACTTCATTTAAACTTATTTTAGTTCTTTATTTTAAAAGTTAAGAGAGTTTTGTACTATAGTTAACATATGAAAATTTCATAACTAATAAATTTCAGCGCTTATATGATATACCGTATATACCCATAAAGTTTGTTGTGTTATTGTTTGTTTGTTTTGAATTCAGGCCCGGCCCAGGACCAATTTCTATGATACATTTGTATTGGATCTCATATTTTCGAGGTCCAATTATGTGAAATTTTTTTTTTTTCTTTTCTTAAAGGCCTCAAAATAAATTAAATAGGCCTCAAAATAAACATAGAAGCCACATCCTTAATATAAAGGCCTCATAATTAGGAAAAAAGTCCTATAACTAGAAAACAATGTCCAAAAATTAAGAAAATTTGTTAAATAAAAATTATAAATACTCCATAATTAGCAAAAAAAAATTTTTTTAGCAGTTTTTACTTTTAAAAAGACCCCA